CTGCAAAAAAAAAGAAGAAAAGGAGATAGACACATAAGAAGAAAAAAACCAACATGTTCGTTTCTGTTCAATTCTTGGTAAAGTCGGATTGACGACGTTTCAAAACGGCTAAATTTCGTTATCTCACGCGAAAAAGGAAAAGGGCTATACGTTGTTGCAATACGAAGAATGGCACTTAAGCGAAATTATTAATTCGTTAGTTTCGGTTTACACGTTTCGTTACTTTTTATTACAGAGCTAGATTAATAATCTCCGTCGTGTGTTACGGCTACTGAACGCGGTGTTATTCGAACGAGGACTACTACTACTACTAATACTACTACTACTATTACTACTAGTACTACTACTCTCGACCGATTTAATCGTACGTCGTCGTGCTTCCGCACTTCGATCATTAATAACGTTATTCAAAAGCGAATTAATATGTGTCTTGATATTAATCGCATAATGGACGCGATCGTGTCGTACACCATTGGATGAATCGATCGATCGATTTCCGTTCCGATTTGCTACGAGCTTGTCTCGACTAGACAGGCATGAGGGACAGAGAGATAGAAGAAGAAAAAAAAAGAAGAAAAAGAAGGGGTGAGAGGAGAGAAAGACGATGATACTTTGATTCCTGCGAATTCGATGTAATACTTTTCCACTCCTTTTTCCCCATCTTGTTTCTATATTTAATATGAAAAAGGTAGAAAAATTGTCACAGTATGTCCACCAGGGATTCACGTGGATATACGCGAAAATAGATATTTCTTCCGATGCAATGGATCTGACAGCTATCTCAGCCCCTTCCATTCTTCCCTCCCCCACCATTCTATCCCTGACCCATCCCTTGATCTTTCTCTTTCTTGCACTTCTCCTTTTACTGATACTACGAAGGGGGTCAAGCGAGTTTTCACGACGATGGTCGAGGCTAAAGACGACAACGACGACGACGACGACGACGACGACGACGACGACGACGACGGCGACTATGACGAAGACCACGACTACGACGACGCGAACTCGAAATATCGAACGCCAATGCCAAAGAGGTTGGACCGCGTCAGCTAAGTTTACGATCGCACTGGGGCTTAACCTATACGGAGAAGCAAGCTACGGGTGTAAACGCGACCGGTAAACCACGGCCCTGTAATTGCCTCGTTCTGGGGGATGGAAGCTTCTCTCACAACGGCTGGACGTCCCGTTAAGAACTTACCACGAAGGGACTGTCCCCTACTTTTCACAAAGCTCGGCATTATCTCTTTATTGCCCGACGGACGTTATTTCCACTTTTTACAGAGTGTCAGTTCGTTTCTACTCGTAAGATTCCTTAGAAAAAACCGATCCTTTCTTCTTTTTCTTTTTCCCCTTTATCGGGAACACCGATTTGACGAAGCAAAAATCACCGGAAGTTCGTTTGTTAGAAGAAACCGATTTCTTATCTCTTTAGATAAGACGTACGTAGATGGACGATGTCGAACTAGTTTTTTCTTTTTTTTCCTTCTTTCTTTCTTTCTTTCTTTTTCTTTTATTTATTTTTTTTTCCTTTTTTTTTTGTTGCTTTCAATGCATGCAAATATATCGAATTTTATTCGAATCTGTCATTACAGTTTCATTTTCTTTTTTTTTTTTTTTTGAAATCGCTCATTTTCATCGATACGTCGTCATTATTTAAATTGGCAAGCATTTGATCGGCAAGATGCAAAAATATTAAGAAAAAAATATAAATAATGAAAGATTCACTTCTACTACCTGTTGCACTTTAAAAGTTACCTACACAGAGAACATGCAAGATTATTTTGTCTTCTTACGATCTTCAAGAATTATTATACGAAAAATAAAGAATATATGTGAGTCTTGTTAATTATACAATTTTATGTACAGAATACCTAAGAAGAGAAGTTTCGGATTAGAATGTTAGATATTGTTTTATATATATATATATGTCGAAAAATATTGAAAAAATTTCGCAAGCAAAGCAGTAACTGACCCCGCGATATAAATGTGGGGTTAGAGATGTAGTAAAAATCTTGTGAGAAATTTTTATCGTAGTAGAAAACATTGCACCAATATCGATCGACGTTGTTCAAGCTGATATTGGCCAATATGTTTTGTATTACGTTCGAGCGTATCGAAGAACAATAATCGTTGTTCATCGATCGTGTAAAAGTGTTAAGCGATTATTCGTGCCGTTTAAATTCTGTTTCCTTTTTTCTTTGTCGTAAGATCTCAACAAAATATTCAATAGATAGATTTGTATTAAAGATCCTGTTATTCCCGAAGAGATTATTCTCTTTAAATTACTTTTTCATAAGTGAATAAATAATTGTCGTTTTATTCACGTTGAAAGATGTGCGATCGATTCAAGCGATCGCTACGTTTATTATTTTGAAGCTACGTAGATTCGAAGCATATTGGGTTAAAAAAAAAGAGTAAGAAAGCCGCCGAAAATCGTGGCTATGCGAACTATCAAAGAGCTTTCTCATGAGTGGTGCACTGTGAATGAAAATCGGTTTTAAAAAAGAGATGCTCACGGAAATGAGATCGATTGGTATGCTAGGTATAATATTCGATGTGAAAGAAACAAGAGTGAGAGAGAATTTTATCGGGCCTTATATTTACCGATGACTTTCTACTTCCTTTTTCTTTTTAACTTCAACATGATGATTTGTTAATCTTTCTTCAAAAATCTTTTTCGATGTTAAATGTAATTTTCTTTTTTCCTCTCCTCTCTCTTTTTTCTTTTTTTTTTTCCTTCATGATTTTTGTATGCATTAGATAGTATAATAATTCTTCTGAAAATTGATTACATCGACGAAGCTTACGTGAGAGAAAACGCAGTCGCGGTCGTACGATTTCACGAGCTAGCTAATCGTAGATAATAGCGTGATAAAACTCTGAACGAACTTCTCTCTCTCTTCTTCTCCTTCTCTCTCTCCCTCTCTCTTTCTCTTCTCGTGATCAATCATAAATCGTTGGACGGGTCGCGAATTCGCTCCAGTGATACTTTATTCTTATCCATTTGGAATCACTTACCACTCTGCTAACTGGATTTATCTAGCGGTTATACCGAACTTTTTATTCCCTCGAATGTACGATAACTCGGCACAGTTCCGCACCCGAGAGAAATAGAGAAAAAGAAATCGAGAAAGAGGGAGACAGAAAGAGAGAGAGAGAGAGAGAGAGAGAGAGAGAGAGAGAAAGAGAGAGACAGTGAGAGTGAGAAAGGGAGAAAGAGAGGGGGGAGAGGGAAGAAGTGAAAGATCAACAAGAAATTCGGGAGTAAACTCGAAATTTCCTGACGATCGTGCGATCCTCCAATAAAGCAACGTAATTCTAGACTCTCGAATGAGGGAAAGAAAGATGGAAGGTAAGAAAAAACGAAACAAAAAAAAAAGAAAAAGGAAAAGAAAGAGAAAGAGAAGATGAACATGGCCGAGATAACACGCGGTCAGAAATAAGAAACGGAGGGCAACGATATTAGAGTTTTACGATGCTTTCTTCTTTTCGTATTTTCTCTCTTTCTCTCTTTCTATCTCTCTCTCTCTTTCTTATTCTCTTTTTCTAATCTTCCCTCTCTCTCCCTCTCTTTCTGTCTCTCTTCCTATCTCTGGCTCTCTTCGTCTCTTCTTCAACCTTAGAAAGAAGTTTCCACTTTTCCTTCAGTTTATGGCGAATGGTTTCTTCGCTGATGTCGACGATGAAACTCGAATGTACGTAATTCTTACACCCTTAAATAACGAGGATGCTTGAAGTTTCGTTGGCACTGGCTACTCCTGCTGCGCGCCAATATTCCACCACGACTAAATTCATGCTAGAAACGTTCTAAGTGGACATTAGCTCTCCTTTTCGTACCTACCCTCTTTTATCCTTTTTCTTTTTCTTCTTCTTCTTCTTCTTCTTCTTCTTCATTCAATGATATATGTATAGAAGATTACTAGACACAAACGAACGTTCATAGAAGTTTTATTTTTCAGCTTTCTTGCTAAAGTAAAAAGTTTGCTTTCCAAATATTCTTCCTTTTTATCAACGTTTTCACGCGTTCGTATATATATATATGTATATATATATATATATATATATATATATATATATATATATATATATATATAGATATATATGTATATGTGCATATACTTGCCTACCATAGTTTTTAGCTTTATTATCAATGTTCTAACGTTAAGAATATTCGTTGTAAACTTTTACGTTTCTTTTCTATTGTCCTCTAATAAGAAGTTCTTTCTTCTCGTACGATTTTCTGGAATATTGAAATTAAAAGATGTCCAACGTTGCTCTCGTTTTGTAAGTTACGCCGACTTTCATTAGATAACGTAGACGTAACGGCCACGTTAAATGAAGTAGAAACTTTCTTAACAAGTTTTATTGGATATATTTCTCTTACGTAGATATTGTTCTACGTTGTATATATATATATATATATATATATATATATATAGATAGATATAGTAAAGTATATGTACCCGTATTGCTTTGTAACGCTTCACAAAAGGTACGGCCGAAGTATCTTGTCTGTAAAATAGCTACACCATCGAAACTTCGTACTTCTAAAGGTACAAGTCTAACTAGCTGAAGAAAATCGAGAGAGAAAAAGATTTCATGTAAAATTGTGCACGTTAGTTGAAGGTGCACGTAATAATGTCTCTTAAAAAAGAGAGAAAAAGAAAGAAAAAAAGAAGAAAGTAAGAAAGGAAAAAAGAAAGAAAAGTAAAGGAAGAAAGAAAAAAGAAAGAAAGAAAAGAAAAAGATAAATGTAGTGATAACGTAGTCCAGCAGGTTATTTAATATTTGTACAAATGTGCGGAATTGGCACTCGAGTTAGATTTAAAAATATAATTGTGAAAATAAAGAAGATTGTGCAGAAGAATGTAAAAGATTCTTAAGTAAAAAAAGGCCCTCATGATGTATCCCAATTTCGTTTTCTCATTTGATTACCACGAAAATTTTGAAGAATGTATCGAAAATATTATAAAAAAATGAAGGAAATGGAAAAATGAGAG